TAGATATTTCTAGATAAAACTTATATTATTTACATTAGGTAAAACAACTATTTTCTTCTTGCTGTTGATCTTCTCTTTTATCCACAGGATAGTTACGTACAAGAGAGCAACAAAAAGCCCTCCCAAATAACACAGAAACACTCCAGCTAAATTGTTAATATCCATTTGATGTTCTTCGCTTCCCACTCTGTTATCTGAAATTTTAAAAACGTTAAATTTTAGTAACCTTGCACACCATTTAGAGAGAATTTTATGTATTACCTGGACAATTATTGATAAACCATCTTTTATTTAAAAAATCTATATATCCTTCTTCTCTTAGCTTTAAAATAGATGATGTAAATGGCTTCTCAAATGGAGAACCTTTAGGCAAGCCAATATCGTAATTTTGCTGTTAAAATAAAATTATTATAAGTAGTAGGTATCGATACAGTACATATTCATAGAAATGATTGATATAAGTAATTGATTGTTTTAAAAACATTCATCCATATCGGTATTGTAATATGTTTTCGTAATAGTAACAAGAATAAAAGAGTAATATTAACGATGTGTTGTGTTACACAAGACAACGTTAATGTTATTCTTGTATTGTAGATCATTCATTAGTATTAATGTTATAAATAATTTACTAATCCAGAAAGTCTTCCAACTCGTTCGACATTGCACGGCCTCAGCATAGAAGCGTAATCCACAACTGGAGAATCATATATAAAAGCGAAACGATCTTTGTGACCTGAAATATTAAACACAGCTTATTTACTTATTCCAACAACAAGATGTACAGTACAGTACGTTATTTTTTGAATAAGTTAATATAATTAAATAACTTATCTATTATTTTTTTGTTCTGGTATATTATTAATGTTATTTTCTACTACCTTCTGGCAAATAATACGATGCTCTAACTCTCTCTATGCCCACAGCAGTGTCGTTTGTGAATGTATTTTGCTTTCTCATCATTTTGTAAGCTATTTTATGCATTTCGTAGTGACTGTTTACAAAGAAGTACTCAGCATAAGAATTACCCAGAGTTCCAAATGAAATTGTATTCAATTTCACTAAATCTTCAAAAGAATTAACTTCTAAAAAATAGAGTATTTATAAATAAATTCGTTTTAAAGTATTTACTTTAATAATTTTATTACCTTGTTTCATATTCTGGACTGTCATAAATGCTGCCAATTTTGCTGTATATGCAGCAATAAGAATAACCGTAGTTAACCACCAACTCACCATTACTATTCTTGCCGGAAGATTGTTTTTTTGTTTAAATTCTGTTCCCTAAATATATATCAATTAATTAAATTTTTCATTATACAAATAAAGTCGTTAACAACAAATAATTGGTCACCTACCGGGGCTACAAGCGACGATAAACTCCACCAAAGTGCTTGTGGAAAAGTGATCCAAGAAGAATCTCTAACGCTTTGATTTGTTTTCCTTATCTCCTTTCTACTGTTGTTAAAATTACTTGGTGTTAAATTTACACATATTGCAAGCACTAGAGAAGTAAAAATCACCGACACAGCAATGGTAAGCCACACTGTTGTTTCGAAAGGTGATAAAAATGCGAAATAATTTTGTTTAGTTTTTGCATTATATTTTGGCATTAATATAGCAAAACCTAAATCGTAGTAAGGAGCTGTAAAGGAGATGACTTCTTGTCTTTTCCAAGATATCGTCAAGGCAGCTAGGCCCAAATCTATTTTCTAAACATACGAAATATTTTATAAATCTTAATTCGTGAATAAACTACGACAAAAGTATTAATTAATAAAGAGAACAATAAAATTCCGTCTTTACCTTATCCATTAATTGTCTAACTAATCCGTTCCATTCTTTTGTTTCGGGATTTTCATTTCCATATTGCTCAATTTCGTATAATTTAAATTTAAAATCATGTATTTCTTGTAATTTTAAAAGAAGGTCTATAAGTAGTCCTTCGTATTTAGAATGTATAGGGTCTCCTTTTTTATAATAAGGGTTTTTCATGATAAAGGGCACTTCCTAGAAGAATGTACGTAAATTAAATAATAATTAAATATTCTCTGTTAATTAACATATGTATCTATTATAAAACAAGATAATAAATGATGATGATAATAATAATAATCCATTGTCTCTTACTATAATTATTCCAACATTAAGAGTTCTTCCATAAAGACTTTGATGAGAATTAGTAGGAGGAATTGTAGTTTGGCCAGGAAATATGATTTCTGAATTAATCTTAAAGTTTTTTTCGTTTCCTAACCATTTTCCTACCTAAAGTTTTCAATTAAAATATTAGTTACTTGTTAAGAATATGAAATAAACTTGAAAATTAGAAGTAGCTTACTTTAACGAAACCTTTGACTTGAAGGTTTTTTATATCAAAGCTGGTGAGATCATGATAACCAAATTTCGTGAACTTTAAAGGTCCTAAACTTCCATTAACATTCCTCAAATTGAGAATACTTTTCAACAAATATCTACCCCATTTCCACTTATTGACAGAATCTGTGCAACTTCCTTTTTGGAAAGTAGAAGGTTCGAAAGATATTTTCTCTTCGTAAAGAATTTTGTGAAGTCCGTTGGCAATTGCTAACACTGCATCATACACACGAGTGAAAGCTTGCTGCAAAATGATTTTCATTATTTCATATATATGGATATTTAAATAGTGAAACAATATCAATGGTTAATTTACCTGATTCTGTATATGATTTCCCAAATTATTCTTTTTTAATTGATTCACTAATTTTAAATACAAAATGGTATCAGGAACCGCAAATGCAGTTCCTATTAATCCAACTAAAGAAGATGGTATATATCCGTCATCATCTGATAAGTATTTCAAATCCTGCCAACAAAGATCAATTGTTAATTAGGAGAGTTATTTTATTAAAATTTAATATAATAATATAAAACAATAAGTGACTTGAAGTCTTTCTGCAATGTTATGTAAGTTACAAAATTAAAAGATATAGACTTACGTGTGATGTAATGCTATCCATGACGAGCCATGTCCATCCAGAACGAAACATGTTCATGCGATCAGCTTGGTTTATAACAGTTTTACTTATCGTTATATCACAATAAAGAATTATTATTCTGACATCCTTTTCCTTATCAGAATAAAAGTGTTATAAAAATTCACTTGTGATAAATTTTGATATAAATTTTTACTTATACTAAGAGTTTGGAAATGAATATAATTAATTACATGAAACCTGCGTAAACTGGACTAGTATATTACCGAATGTTTTTTTTCCGTTTAGCAAAGTATTTTAACACAAAAATTACTGTTTTTAATAAATTCTCCCGTTCAGTTTGATTTCCGTTTTATCAAAGTTTTGTTTTGAACGTTTTACTATATAATAGATTAATCGAGTGTTTTTCAATTTATCCTAATATTGGCACTTTCAACTTGACAACTTATTTCTTCAGGCATCATTTTCTTCTTATTTATAGATGGAGAGTTGTTAAGCTTTTCACACTTTTAGTAATAAAATTATGGTTTTGCTAAGCAGTATATTTCGAGGCTCCAGAGTGAAAGCAGTAGTTTTCACTCGGATTAATTCACTCTTGCATTTTTATAATAAACAAGCATATATCACATATTGAAGCTTTAAAATTTACAAATATCAGATTTACTGCTTACCTTAATGGCATTCAATTGTCGGGTAATATCGAGATATTTTGTGTCGGACAAAGGAAATCGCTGAACAGAAAGCAGTGTAATTTCGTGTTTCGTAGCTAGTCTTTGCAGTTCCATTGTTGCATGAATAGCTTAATAAATAAATTTAATTAGTCAATTTATACGTTTTAAAAATTATAACATATTAAATTAAGCACAGAACAAGAATAAAAACTTGCCTGGTTCATTATCTTCTGTTAAAATGACAAAAGCATCCCATCCATAATATTTCAAGATATGTATTAAGGCATTATTCTGAAAGGTATCCGGCGGTGACATTTTTAAAAGCGTAGACGACGATTGGTTCAAAATCGGTATTAAAGATAACATCGGGTCTGTGGCCAAGATACTAATCTGCGGTATTCCCAATTGGCCACACACACTTTGGACAATTTTTGAATGTAAAGACATTAGTGGTCCGACTATCGATATCACTCGCTGATCTACTAAATTACACGCTGAAAAATTATATCGGTATTTAATTTTAGTAATAAAGTAATTTTAATATAATTTATATAAATTTACCGGCTCTAATAACTTCTAATTGCGTAGAAGCATTCTGTGTAATCGGAATGAGTTTCGTATTGGGTAATAAATTCGAATCTGAATTTATATTGTTTATAACTAACCGAAATGTTTCTTGTAATATAGGAAGGTCAGACGGAAAAATAGCACCTGAAAGGTAAATACAGTATAAATATTTAAAGGAAATCTACAACAGGATAAATCGAAATTAGTAGATTGCTATTGTAATACTTTCTATTACGTTATCTAAGTCATTAATCGCTTTAGTTCCCACCAATTTTTAATATTAATGTAATTAAACATAAAAAAATACTTAAAACTGAAAAAAACGAAAGCAATGCGTTAACTTTGAAGAAAAACATTCAAACTTTATTTTCCATTGTCTCGCCTTTCTGTGAGATCTGACACCGATGAATCATTGTGTTTACAGCTGGATGACCGTGAGAACAGCTGGTGTTGGATTTTCCGAGACATTCTCATAGAAGTCTCGGGAGGCGAAGGGTTTATAGTAGGGTGAATACTAGATGGCTGTATAATTTTAAATACAGTGGTACCTCAGGTTACGAACGCCCCAGCATACGAAATTTTCAGGATACGACATGAAATTCGAACATATTTTTGCTCCACGATACGAACAAAAACTCACCATACGACGTTACATTAGTTCGCATTTTTCATTTGTTTTTCTTACTACAGTTATTTTTTTTAATGTATTACTTGGCTTTAATTTGAGTATGTTTTTCGCGTTGGAACGAATTATTTGGTTTTACATGTAATCGTATGGGAAAAGATGATCCACCTTACGACATTTTCATGATACGATCTCAGTTTCGGAACGGATTAATTTCGTATCCTGAGGTACCACTGTATTTTTTAAAAATTCAAATTTTTATTGCGATTTCCGACCCCCCGACTTAATTAAACGTATATATAATAAAATCTATTAATTAAAAAATTAAAAATCTATTGGATGTCGTTTTTGATAGCAGAAAGTAGCTTTAAATAACTTTACCGAAGGAAAATCCGTGCACTAGAACTTTAGAATGATAAATGAAATTTGATATCAAAATCCAATTAAAAAACAATTAATTGTTAATCATGCGTCACTAAAGGTAGATTAAAATCGCGATAAATTTTTTTCTCGCGGATAAAAATTTTTGAAAAAATTTGGAGACCTAGAAAACATTCAGAAATTGAAGAAAAAAAAATTTTGTTGTAGGGGCGAAAGGACCGAGTTTTCTGTAACGCTATGTAACCTAAACTAAAGAATATGTCAGAGGAACTAAAGGGGTTTACTTTCTCTGATATATTCTTGCATAAATAAAGACTGCTGTAATTTATATTTCAAGGCTTATCACACACAGAAGTCAAGTATTTGAAAACAATATAGGCCTATTACATTTTGGTATTTATAACGATTGCACAATATAAAATTTACAGTTATCACAAAAATATTACAAATTAACAAAACTCCATTTCGAAATATGGTTTGCCTCTTCATATAGATTATTATTATTAAACATAAAACCAATAACTTTTGAAAAAATTACAGCGGTACGTAGTAAGAAAATTAATTTGTTTTAAAACTACATTTGGTACATCTCCTTTTTCATTTGTTTTTAGCGGTGATACGATTAAGGCTTGTTTAGTTTATTTTTATATTCTGTATTTTAAATGTATTGTTCAAATCATAATGTCAAGTACAAAAATGGACTAAACAAGTTTAAATTGTATGAATACTAAAAACAAATGAATATACCAGATATAGTTTTACCAAAATGTAATATATTGTTTTCAAACACTTGCTTTCTGAAATATAACTTACAACGGTCTTCGTTTATGCAAGAATAAGTTAAATAATATTAATGTAAAAGTAAGAAGCAGACTCATTAAATTAATAGTAACATTGATTACATGTTTTGTTATTAAAACAACTAAAGTTAATGCATTCGAGTATATCCAAAACATAAAAATAAACTTATCTTTGATAATCTTACCAATAGCAACTTCATTTGGTATATTACCAACAGCAGAGTAGAATGAGACTATTAGTAACAATCCAAATCTTCTCATTTTTAATTAATTCCGCATCTAATTATAAGAACGTCTACGTTCTATTCCATTTAATGCTATAAAACTTGACTAAAAATCGTACATAGTAACCAAGTACTGATCATCGATTTATTGTTTACCTGCTGTCAACTTATTTTCGTTAGTCTTGGAAAATGTACTTTTTAAAAATCAATTTTGTGGTTATTGTTCACCTTTCACGATAATTTTGCTCTTGATAATAATATACAGTACATGGTCATACAAAAAAGTTCATATATTTTTTCTTTTTCTGTTTGCATCGCTCACGAATACACGGTTGTATTCAAATTATAAAATCTTTTATATCAACATCGTGTAATTCTTATGTTAATTTTTCCAAGAAATTTGCGATTAATTTATTAAAACACACAATGAAGTTTAATATTGCACATTATTATAAATAAATAACACAAACTTGACAAGTAAATAAATTTTTAAGATGACAAGAGTTAACTAAACAATTCGAAAATCGATCACGTTTATAATTGAAAGCATTTATACTTTCGGTTTATCAATAAACTTTTTAAACTCTAAAATATTAACTTTATTTAGTTTATTCCATTATAAAACTTTTATCACGCAACGCATTTGTATTAAACTAATAGTCATATGTCTTTTATAAACATTTTAATCATAATAATTTTTAAAATAGTGTATTCCTTTGTTAGGGTGTTATAAAAGATATCATTATTTAAATTTATACTTTATTTAGTTGAATAGAAAGAAACTTGGACAATCAATAAATCTCTGTTAGTTATTTTTAAATATTTTAAATAATCGTAAAATCGAGAGTGAGGCGATTACTCCTTGTGGATTCTCCGTTCTGTGGCAGATGTTGAACCCAGTTGAAGAAAGCGCAATGCTATCGTGAAACTTCAGGTGGGTGGAGTGCAGGATAGACTAAGTCCTGCCCTTCGACTATTGCTCGATTCCGGCACAGTTCCTACTTTTAAATCGTTCTCGGCGAAGTCATGCTCTGCCATTGGTCTGTTGGTAGTTTCGCCTGATTAGATGATTAGTCTGCGCTGCTTTCCAAGTTTTTTAAACTTGTAAGGAAGATAGCAATAATTATATTCTCGTTCACTTCTTGTTAATTCCTGACATTTAAAACATTAATGTGTATAACAAAATTTATAAAGTATTTATTACAAATCATACCAAGATATCTGAGAAGATTATTTTCATAATTCTCGTATAATGCCTGATATGGCATAAAAAATTTAAATACTGTTTTTTTTAGTTGAGAAT